TTGGTTCGGGAGGGGGAGAGGAGGGGGGATTGGGGCGAGCGGAATGTGCGGAGGGGAGAGGGAGGGCTTGCCACAGACCCCCACTAACCAACGAAATTTCCGATCTCGTATGGACGAAAAATTCCCATTGGCTGAGAGCAACACGTTGTCAATCAACCCTCGAACTAAACAGTCTTCGTGGCGACTACCTTTTAGAAAATGGCAGACAACGGTGATTTCGAGAAGTTCTGCCCTCAAGAATCGATGTCGAAGTAGAATATTTGTGGCAGCCATCCACTTGTTCAAGCTCAGGGCCTTGATAAGACTGGCGTCTTTATTCTCAAACTTGCCGCTTAACCACAGCATTGCAAAGCCGATGGACGATGGATCCAAATTATCAATGTTTAAATTTGTATCCATCACTAAAGTTGAGGGTTGTCCTTTCGTCGGCGAGTCAAACAACACTTCCCTGCTAGATGTAGGTTTTGCATGTGCCAGGGAGCGGACACGCAAGCTCTTTCTACCTGGACTTTTTCCTGTCGGTGTTGAGAACTTTGTTTCGACGAAACATCACGGGAATCCGGACATTGAGAAGCGGCCTTATTCAACAATTCATAAAACTGGCAAAAACTGTTAGCTTTTCTTGCACAAGGAAGGCATATAATTTGAGATATGTGCGACGTATTTTCGAAGTGAAAACCGAACGTGCGAAGGCAATCGGCGAAGACACACTGAAATTCTTCCCTTTGACTCTGATTTGAAATGTTTACAGAACTCTTGAAGCCATTTCCAAATTTGATTCTTAAATCTACTCCACAAAACCGGCAAACTACGTCTTCTGGATTAACTTTTGGCTTTCTCCCTCTCTTAGATTTTGATACCAAATTCTCCTTGTCGTCCGACATTTCTCACTCTCGGGGAGCAAGTTTTAGTTGTTGTTTTGACAGTTTGCATGGTTCACTGTTAACGGCGCTTTCTGATTGGTTAATTTTAAGAGGCGCTGATTGACATATGCAAGACGATATGAATATGAAAATAGGGGGCGTTTCGTTGGTTAGTGGGGGTCTGTGGCAAGCCCTCCCTCTCCCCTCCGCACATTCCGCACGCCCCAATGCCCCCTCCTCTCCCCCAGGGCTTACTTCGCAGGCTAAATTAATCCCGGATTACCTTCGATGGAAGGATTTCCTTATGATCTCATATTCGAAAACACAGCCTTGGTCCCAATGAGGCGCCCATGGAGCTCCCGCGGTGCATTGGCGTCACTTCCAACTAGGAACTGCTCGTAGTCTAAGTCCCATAGCTATTACTTTATATTTCGCAATTGTTATCTCGTTCAAAGATCTTCTGCATAACGAAGTTTGGTGTTGTAAGGAAATCTTTCCCTCTCTACTCTCAAGTCCACCCTTACGCCCTAACATCAGTATGCATATTCTCCATACTGTTCTCTAAACATTTCTCAAAGTGATGACAAGGAGAATTTGTTTAACAATCAAGAGCTTCTTGAGTTGGTGATCATGTTCTTTATTCTCCTGACCTTACTGTGTGATTCAAGGGTGATATTGTAAGGAGAAATCAGATGCTAGTCACTCTTCGAGGTCAAAGGGTTGAAATTGTTTCATACTCGGGAACCCAGTTTTCCGACGAGCAAATTAACACCAATGCGTCATTTTGTGTAAATGAAAACCCATTTAAAGTGCTACTGAAACAAAATTTTCGTATCTGAAATTTTTGCTCTAACCTGTAGTTTTGAATATGGTGATCATCATGACATTCCTTTCAATTACAGCAGAAGCTTTTAATTTAACCCTGCTTAGTCATTAGCCTTCTGATTACAGCGCATGATTCTTCTGAGAAAAATTTTTAGAAATGAAAAGCTTCAATTAACAAGAATCATTCGAGAATGAGAAATCAAATTTCTGTCTTGTAAGGTTTGTAAGAGCAAGTGTGTGAAGTCAGGCTACATTTTTGGCGTTCATTACCTCGAGTGCCATATCCACAACTTACCACAGTAGCTTTGAAATTATTTTATCGATATTTGACCTAAATGAATAACTGTTTCATTATGGGGTGGAGGACGATTGAATAGAAGACAACTTAATTACTTTCAATTCTTGTATGATCATATATTCTTGAATCTAGGCTGCTGGATCATCGTAGAAAAATTCTATCCTTCAGGGAAATTAATAACTTTGAAAATCTTCCCGTTCGTACAGCTTGAGTTTACTTGTACCAACTGAGCGAGGAGCAAATGAAAAAACTTAGTATGGGACTGTCAGCGTGCAGAGGATTCTCAAATAAAAAAAAAATGATTTAGTCGTTTGTTTTTCTTCTAGGTTTGGAAGATAATGCTTGAAGATTCAAAGAAAGGAG